TTGGGTGTCTTCCTTAATCTCTCTTCACCTTGTTCTTTGAAGCGGGGTCTGTCCCTGAACCTAGAGCTTATCTGTTTCTCTCCACCATTTGACCAGCTAGCCCCCAGTGATCCTCCAGTTTCTGCTTCCCCAGTGCTGGGCTTACAAGGGTGTGCCACCATGCTGGGCTTTTTCATATGGGTGCTGGGGATCTGAACTTGGGTCTTGTGCTTACCGGGCAAGTAATTGAGTGGGCCATCTTCCTACCCCCCAACAAACTATCTCTTTTCCAGGATAAATTGTGCGTATTACACTGTAAAAATCCACAGCAAATGGCAAAGATATTCAGGCAGTTTCCTATTGGCCACCTCAGTGTAATTGCAACTTAGCACTGTTTAGCTTTTGTGGCGTTTGTATGTCTCCCATTTGCAGAGGGGCACCTGGAAGGTTCTTGTGTAATTGAGTTCTTTTCTAGTGGAGATTATGTCTATGTGGTCCCAATTTGTTATAATGGGCACCCAAAGATAGCACTCTACTAGTTCTGGGAGGTGGGGTAAGGATTTAAATTGGCGGCTTGTTGAGAAAGAATTTCTGCCAGAATAATGCTTTATTTCAGGTAAAACCTTAAGTGTTCTTACACATTGACTTTCCAGTGGTGACAAGACCCTGACTATTGGTACCAGGCAGAGCGCCAAGCCTGAGAGCAGTGCAACCTCGCCAAAGACAGTGTGCAATGCGCATGCGTGGGACACACAGTGGCCCGCCTTCTCTCCCAGCATTCCAGAGATGGTGGGCGCTGCGCAAGAGTGGGACACCCATGGGTTTATCAGCAATATCATTGCCCGAAACACTCCTTCAGTGAGGGGCTTTACTCCAAGAGAGGGGGTCATGGAGTTGTGGAGGGCATGGCTGGAAGGAGAGGTGGCAGCACAAGCCACAGTTTGCCCCGAGTTCCCAGGGCTTTGACACATGGAAGGGGTTAAGTCGTTCTTGAACAGTTTATCGCTCATCAATTGTAATTAAATATGTTTATATTAAATTATGTTTTGTAATTAATGTAAAATCCTTTAGCCTATGCCGTTATTAGAACCAGATGCTGAAGTACCAACAATATTTCAACATGACTGTACTGCCTCGCCAGCTGTCTGACTGTAATTACTTTAATCTCAGCTTGTTATCTAATTATCACCTTTGTAAAGGGAAAAGTACTCTCTAATGCTTCCTGATTGTTTCAGATGATGATGAAGAGCGGGGAACAGCTGTCAGAGATCGGGCCTGCTTATCACAGCCGAGGAACTTATCCCAAAGTGTATTCAGGGCCAAACTGTGGAGGAAGGCGTGCCAGGCGAGAACTGGGGGCTGGCCAGTGAGGGGAGACAGGTGGTGTGCTGGATAAACTGTGAGGTGATGCCTGCCTCCTCCGGCAATGCCTGGGGGACAGCGTTCTCAGTCATTAGAGACTCAGGACTTTGTTGACAGTGAGCCGTCTTACTTACTGTCCTGAGGATTGCATGAATTAAGCTTGGGAAGCCCTCAATATACATACTAGGTAAATGTCTTCATCTTAAAAAACCAGCCACTTGTGAGTTTGGGCTGGGGAGATGGCTCAGCAGGTAAAGTGGATAACAAGGGGCTGAGTTCCTAAAAAGCCCAGCAAGGCTGTTAGCATTTGTAACCTGGTGCTGGATGACAGAGACAGGAGGATCCCTGGGGGCTTCCTAGTCAGATAGTTTATCTGTGAGAGACCCAGCCTCAAAAGATAAGGTTGAGAGTGATGGGAAAGACACCTGAGGTTGACCTCTGTCCTTCACATGCTCACGCACAGGCAAACACACAGTCATTTGTGTTTTCTCCAATTCTGCCTTATCCTTTGACAGCTAAACCTGAAACAATTTAAATGGAGCACGTGATGCTAGCAACTTGACATTGTCAATTTGTTTTGCAAATCATGTTTAAGTCTTATCTGTTAGCCTATGCTGTTATTAGAACGGAGGCTGAAATATTGTTTGCTGCATTCTGCATTGTTCACTCCTACACAGGTCATCAAACCAGCCTAGAGTGTAACTGAGCACAGGCAGAGAAGCCATGGAGCCCCTGAGGAGCCTCAATTCTCTTGGTTTTGGAGTCCTCTCTAGTATTCGCATGTCAGCCCTTGGCCCTTGGTGAGACAATCAGTTCCTAAGTGACCAGGTTCCCCTAGGGTGTCTTCTAAACTTCTGATGCTTGCTTAAACTTCACCTCTGGGGACTACAGTTTTTGTCAGAGGGGAGTTGCTACAGGTGTTCTTTATCAGGTAAACAGCAGGATGCTAGGTATGAAGATACAGGGAGTGTGACAGTGGGGCTAAGTGGAATTGACCAAGCTAACAAGGAGGCTAGGTTTCTATTGCTGAGATGGGGCTAGACCACTAGCCAGATGTGAGATCATATAAACTCTTAGTCTTTAAAGGTCAAGAGTAGGAGGCTTTTTTAAAAAAGTGAGCAGACATCTTATCTTAGGAGGGAGGAAGGAAA